GGCCTAAGGTCTTCATTCTCACAGTCCCTGCATCTGCATTCCAAGACTTGGTAGTGTGGTCAGACCACTTGCTGGTGAAGTCTCGGGCAAAGAAGTTATTGAGAACTTCAACCTTCTCCAAATCCAGGGTAGCCAGTTCTCCCATACATACCAATGGGAAAGTTTATTCTCAGTATCTAGCCTGCATCTTCTCATTGCAGCTGAAATCCCTTCCTGCTACAGCCATCCATCCCGCAGTTGAAGAACAGGTTCTTTCTTTTCTCACTGCAGCAGCCTTTTGCACTGTGAAGATGTTACAGGGTTCCTTTCCCCAGGTGTTCTTTGAGCAGAGCATCTCCAGTCCTTCCTGTCTGCCCCATAGGTCAGATTTCCTTGACTTGTAATCATTCTTGCTGCTCACATTTGAAACTATTTCAACAAAATCTTTCACGTCATTCGGTATTAGGCCAGACAACGTAGTCCAGCTGTTTCCTTCGTGGTGGTAGGCAGTGAGAAGGGACTGCATCACATGCCGTGGAACTTACAGATCTGTTTATTCAGCCCAAAACAGTATTTGCCTTTTTCATTAGAGTGTGATGTTGTTGGCTCAGGTTCAGCTTGTGATCTTCTGTACTGCCCAGCTTTTCTTCAGAACTGCTGTCGAGATAGTTCTGCTGTATTTCATGCATTTGGTAATTCATGCTTTGGAATTCACCCTAATTGACTTAGCATGCTGCTGTTTTAAGTCCCCAAGAAACGTGCAGTCCTGCTGCTATTAGTCTTGGGTTTATCAGTGATTTATAAACTTAGTTAAGTATTTCATGGAGATGGTTCACCAGTATTCAGTGCCCATTAATTCTGGGAGTAATCTCATCCTAAAATACTGTGTCCTCAGAAGTGGACCATTCCTGAAAATGAGACTAAATGAGAGGAGGTAAACAATCGGTGTTTTAAAGAGGTGTTTAGTCAGAGGGGAAGCTTCGATCTGTAAAACTTGTTTGTGAGCTGAATGCTTTCTTCCCACATTTGACTAAAAAAGGCTTGACCTCCTGCATCGCTGACTTGTGGGATGGAAAATCCTTTAAATAGATTGCCCATATGTAAATTTTTCTGTCTTGGTTTTGGCAGAGGTTTTGTTTAAATACCATCCAGCATGAGTGGTTTCGTGTCTCAAGTCAGAAGTCAGCTGTCCCTGAAATGGTTGGAGACTACATAACTGCTTTTGAAGAGATTTCTCCTGCTGTCCTCAGACATATCATCAATATGGCAGATGGAAATGGAAACACAGCTCTGCATTACAGCGTCTCACATTCTAACTTTGAAATTGTAAAGCTGCTTCTGGACGCAAGTAGGTTGACTTGTTTGCATAGTTCTTTTATTATTATTTTTGGGTTTTGCAATCCTCGTGGGTGAAATTCTTGATGAGCAAGAGGTCAAATTTGGGCTTCCTCTAGCAGCTGTTCTATTAACAATTACATGGTGTCTCACTTGTGTACTCTAGAATCCTTGTTTCTAGTGCTAGCTTTGGAGATGGTGGTGGTGGTGGCTTTTGGAGAAGTTCCAAAAACACTCAAGTAGATTATACAGAGTTGACCAGAGTTTGGGACAGATGGGTGGATCCTGACTCTTGCACTGTAGTCCAAGTTCAGCAGCACCAGCATCCAGCAGTTTTCTCTGGAAACAGCAGAGCTGCTGCTGTGCCGAAGATAGGGACATGCTGGTGGAGGAAGACGCGCTAAGGTATAAACATCCATGTTAAACACTCAAACTAGACTAGCTTTATGTTACTAAAGCAATACAGAAGCTTTTTCTGGCCACCACCTTGACACATCTCTGCTGCTTTCCTGAAACTGGAGCAATGTGGCATTCTACCATAAAGGAGCATTTTACTGATCCATGAGCAATGTGGTGATGTTTCATGTGGTTGCTTTTGTTGTTGATCCTTCACTCAATCACCTTGCAACAAATGTGCAGGTGCAAACATGCAAACTATCCAGTGGCAGAGGGAAGACTCCAGAGCCTCTGCTCCTCCCCACATGCACTAAGACAGAATGTGTCACAAGCTGTAGCTGGTCCCAGGCAGGATGTGATCTATTTGAGCCTAGTTTTGCTCATGAACTGAAGTTTCTTTTTCTAATTTGGTTATAAAACCTGTCACAGTTGGTTGTGAAGCTTTAACTAGGCAAAGGACATGGCTGGAGTGGTAAGCCTAGCAATATTTATAAATCCAGAAGGGTAGCGTCAGCTAAACAAGGATATTAATGATACAAATCTCAGGATTGATAACCCAGTACATCTGTCACACATGCAGAGACTTCCATGCAGGAAAGTGAGTGCTTTGAAATCTCTGGTCCTGTTTGAAGGCAGCCAGTTGGGAAGAGTGAGTCACAGCAGGGGAATGCAGGGAATGTCAGGAACACAGTGAAATGCAGCAGGCTGGCTCTGCGACACAGTGGTGGGAGGGCTTCCCTGGCTATCTCAGGGTAGCATGAGCATGCTCATCTGTTGCTTCAAATCAGGACTCCTGTAGCTTACAGCAGCTGACATATTCCTATGTACCCAGTGGGTTTTGACTGTAAAACCCAAAACCATGACTAGTGCCAGGTATGCAGAAGCACATTGCATGTGCCAGCACTTGGGAAATATTTGTGAACAGGCAAATTCCTTCAGGTTTTAGCAGTCCTCCTCTGGACCATGTCTAAATGGTCAGTCAGTGTTTGCAGTGTGGTTATATCACAGGCAGATTCTTGGTCCAAGATCTCTGTGTCTACGTCCAGCGGGAAGAACAGATGACAAAACGCTCCTCTGTATCACCATGCAGTGTGACCAAGAGGACAAATAGAAAAACAGCTTCTCTCATTAGCCATACAGAAAAGGAGCCGAAACGTGACCTCAGAAAACACACCTGTCCTGAAGTAGTCTAGTCAGGGTAGGAGAGCATCACTTCCAGTAAATACCTGTTACTCATGAAGTAATGCATGTAGCAAGGTGCCATGTTTGGTGGCTTCAGTGGATTCCCAAAAGTAATTTCTGAAAGTACAGTTGGTCTAGTGGTTGTAGCACAGGTGATGTCTAAGGAACATGAAAAAATACGCATTTCCTTACAAAGAATCATAGAATCACAGAATGGTTAGGGT